TGCATAAATTTGCCGGGCTCCCAGAGTGTAACTCATGTGCGATGTGTACATGTACTTGAGAGTTAGATGAAGGTGATACAGGATGAAAAGAGGGCAGGGCAGGCAATTTTGGAGGTTAAGTGCACAAGCAGCAGTAATAACAGGTCAGAAGGTGCCTGTTTCTCTTTTTTCCAGGTATTTCTGCAGCCAGAAGAGCAGATCTAGAGTAATGGTCACCAATGGGAAACCATTTTACTTCACAAGATTTTTTTTCACCAGGCTTTTAAAAGTACCTCACTGAAAATGAGCTGTAGGTTTGGACTCTTGAACTGAGTAGAAAATGAGAGGCAGTAGAAGAGCAATCTACAATGTATGAAATGACAAAGTGTAAAAAAATGTAAATGTAGAAGGCCAGCTGGAGTCAAGTCTAACTTTTTTTTTTCAGAGTAACCTCTACAACTAATACTAACTTGAGATTCATGAAATGGTTCCAGACTACAACTTTATGGTCCTAAAGCAGTGACCATATCATAATAATATATTCTTCAACTTCCATGGCTCCTAAGTAAAGGAGACAAAAATATTGTATACAAAGAAGTGACGAGCTGGCATATTTTGAAACAAAACTTGTAACAATAGACCAGAATGTCAAACAGCAAAAATATGAAAATACATACACAAAAAAATCCATAATGATGACTTTGGAATGTACATGTACATGTAGTGTGTCAACCTCCCTCTGATTCTGAACGAATAAAAGAATAAAAATAATGATTGAGCAGATAAAAGAATAAGTTTGACTTTCAAATGTGACATTGCAGCACTGCAAAATGCACAAATCAATACTGACTAGCACTGAACATGAACCAAGGGTTATATAATGGTACTCGGACTGATCTTTAATAATCACTGTGAGAGAACTGTAACATGACGTTGAAGCACGCTTGTCGATCCTTTGACCCCCGCTCACGGAGCACGCAAACTTCTAATGGCTCCTACATGTAATCATGTCTTCAGGGAAGGATCTCTGTTTAGCATCTAAATTGCACCTGTCTGGGCGAGTATTCTCCCAGCTACGGAGACCAATTAACCCCCGAATTCCCTGCCTTTGCTCGCGAGTCGGCTTGAAAGGAAAGTCGAGAAACGATTACGCGGACCGAGGAAAGTCGTGTCACCTAATTGCTTGGTAAGGAGTTTTTAGGGGGGCGGGTGAACGAGTGGTTAATGTGTCTTAATGTGGGGGGATTGCTGACTTTTCAGTTAAGGCGTCACCATTAGGTCTCCGTATCAAAGTTTCATGTCAGGAGGAGGAAGAGGTATTTGCTGGCTTTAAAGTTTGCAGTGAGCACAAGAAGTCACGAACTTCATTTGTGATGTTGACATTGCAATGAGAATTCAGTGAGCCTACATTCTTAGTAAAACGACAGTAAATATTCAAGATCCAAAGATATATTGTACAAGGAACCCTTTTGAGTTACCTGAAACATAACCGAAATCATATCCAGCTGCTTGAGTAACTGTTTTTTGGCAACCCTTGAGTTGTTCGGATGAGGTACATGTACATGTAAATACCACTGTGACACCCCCAGCAAGCCATTTGTCATTCGCAGAGAGGCTTGACACATCAGGACCTGTCTGTCTAAACATTTGTGACCTTGACATTGGAATGAAAACTCAGTGAGCCAAAAACGACAGTAAATATTCTAGATCCAAAGAAATATTGTACAAGGCACCCTTTCAAGTTACTGTACTTGAAACATAACCAAAATCACATCCAGCTGTTTGAGTAACTGTTTTTTTTTGGCAAACCCTTGAGTTGTTCGGATGAGGTACATGTACATGTAAATACCACTGTGACACCCCCAGCAAGCCATTTGTCATTTGCAGAGAGGCTTGACAGTTCAGGACCTCAGTCTGTCTAGTGCCCAGAGCAATAGACACCACCAACCTGGGCTATAGCCAGCACCTGTTTTTCCAACAATTGCAGGAACTTTGTGGGGTGTGACGGAAAAATGTCTAAACCAATCGGTCAACCTTGACCGACAAAATTGATAAAAATCTTTCGTTGGTAAAAATCTAAAACATCCTAATAAGGACCAACAACAACCACTACTAACTCCATAATTGGCCTCTCAAATTGTAGAAAATTGCGTTTTTAAAGGCTTGAAAATAAAAAATTTGCCCATAGACCCCCTAGATTGTAAGCACTCTCCCCCTAGGTTCAATCATGAACTAGGCTGACAGGAAAAAAAATTGAGCTGGCTATAGCTAGAGCCCTGTAACCAACTGTACCGCTCCCACCCCATCTTGTAGCCAGGAGGGGTCCAGTGTGGCATTGCTTCTCCAGTACCCTGATGCCCATCATCATTAGACGTGTATGTTTTTTTGCAGGGAAAACCATGTGACAACTCTGAATCTAAATCTTGAAATGAGCAAGACCTGGTTTTATTCGCAGTTATCACTTTGATATCATACATATCATTCACTCTCCAAGCCTACAAGGAGACAACTTTTTGAGTTTGATCTCCAATTCAACCTTCCTGTCACAGTTACACCAGTTCCCTACCTGTTCAACTACAGATTCTCTTAGTTACTGACAAAAAGTAGTGGCTGCTACTTGAAATGTTTGACATGACCAACTCTACAACCGCTCCCACCCCATCTCCTAGCCAACTTACATGTAGGGTCCTCCAAGGATCGCCTCTCATTACCCCATAAATGAAGTACCTGATGATTGCCCTAAATAATTCACGGCCTAACTTTGGCAGCGGAAGCGGACAGGTATCGTCAGGTCCACCCTCTATCTCTGTCAGCGACCACGTAACTTTGACGATACCATTACAGCATGCAAAATACCTGGTTGCCCCAGGCAACCAAATTTTTCTTGGGGCAACCTATTTTTGAACGCTACCTGAATTTTAAGAATGCCCCCCCCCCTCCCCCAAAATCATGCCAACTTGGCTTGCACCACTGTATGCAGCAGATGCTTTTTAATTTTAGGTATTAATGGCTATCACTATATAGGCTTATATATGTAACATTACTTTATTTGAGGAAAGTATATATAGTAACTTACAGGTGGGGCAACCTAAAATTCTGATGGGCAACCTAATTTTTGCGTCCTGGGTAGTGATGCATACCGGTTCACTGGACTTGGATCCGGACTTGTAAGAATGTTTAGGTTCAAGTCCAAAAAAACCTAAAAGTCAAGAACCGAGTCCGGACTTATTACCATAAAAGACCATTTCACATACCCCTTTTTTTTCCAAACCACCTAAAACCTTCCGTACATTGTAAAATCTTTGCTGCAAAATGAAGGAAACATTGCCATTGGGCATCGTCAAGTACTGGCCTCCATGTTATGTGGTCAAAGTTTCACCCAGACAACATTGCAAGGTTGCCAACATGCAATATTGTATATGCCATGGGTTTAGGTCCGGACTTACAAGTCCGGAACTGAACCTAAACCTCTGGACTTGAATCCGGACCCGAACCTAAAATTGGGTTTAGGTATGCATCACTAGTCCTGGGCAACCTGGTTCAAAAAAGTATTTTGTACACTACCATTACTAATTAAAAGCGTGGCATCTCTTCTCCGCGAGCCTGATGTCCTTCAGACTGGCATGTTATTTGCAGGGGAAAAGAGTCGCAGAACACTTTGTCTTAGTCAACGGTAATCTGCCAGACGCGGAGTTTGCTGTCGCGGTTCATAAAATGATAATGTCGCGCCGGCTTTACCGTTATTTATCAGTGAGAGGATCTCGCTGGGAATGTACAATGTAGCTCCTATCGTTCCTCTGCTTAATGGAAAATACAGGTAGCCCTGGTGACTGTGGATTAGGAATCTTACTAGCGTGCTCGGTCTAACTTATTGCATTCCGGAATGAACTTAAATCATCATGCATTTTTCATAACACACGGGTAGATTCAGGGTCTGTGCTTATATTGCAATTCTGAAGCCCATTAATTTTTCTGTAAGTCTTAGAGTTCATCAAACTGTGCTTTGAGAGAATCTGACATCCTTACTGTAAGCTTCTGAATACCAGACTTCTAGAAAATATGGTGTAAAAATAAGGCCTTCTAAGGCTTTTAGATTGTGGTCATATTGCAATTCTGAAGCCTATTAATTTTTTGAAAGTCTTAGAGTTAATCAAACCGTTCTCTGAGAGAATCTGAGCTTAAGAGACATCCTTACTGTAAGCTTTCTGAATACCAGACTTCTAGGAAATATGGCATTCCACATTTGTAACTAAAGGCTTTTTAGATAGTGCTTACATGTATATTGCAATTATCAAACTGTGCTTGGAGAGAACTTGAGCTGATGAGACATCCTTACTGTAAGCTTAAATCTGAATACCAAACTTCTAGGACATGTGATGTGAAAATAGGGCATTCTAAGGCTTTTAGAGGGTTGAAATTATAGTTAAACAGTCACAGATAAAGACTGACTGACTGCAGAAAGTTGCAGTTCTGTACCTGAACGTAACCACGAGTAAAGGATGAGAATGAGAATATGTGAAATTGTACCCACCTGGTCCTGTATTGACATGATGGGTGAGTTTCTTGTTGTGTTCAGGTAAATCACGGTGTAGCCGTTGCGCTGACACAGGTCATTAACTTACTGTATAAAATTGGTGACTGTGACACAATACACATGTATACAGTTTGTACACTGTATGTGAATTGTACCTTCTTGGTCTTGTATTGACATGATAGGAGAGTTTCTTGTGATGTTGAGATGAATCACGTTGTAGCCTACTGGTACATACAGTAAACTACCGTTCCATAAGGCTAATCTACCCAATACAAGAGTGTGTATAGCATGGGACTATGTGGCATTGCACCCACCTGGTCCTGTATTGACATGATAGGGGAGTTTCTCGTTGTGTTCAGGTGAATCACACTGTAGCCGTTGCGCTGACAGAGGTCATAGTATTACTTACTGTATAAAATTGGTGACTGTGACACAATATACATGTACATGTATTCAGTTTAAAAATTGTATGTGAAATTGTACCCACCTGGTCCTGTATTGACATGATGGGTGAGTTTCTCGTTGTGTTCAGGTGAATCACGTTGTAGCCGTTGCGCTGACACAAGTCGTACGCGAGTCCGACAAACGATGTGCTCGCCGTCTTTGGCACTCTGTTGTAGATGACGATCTGGTCGTTTGACTTGGCGAGGTCTTCGTCACTTCTCCTGAACTGGGGGACCTGGAGGGAGTGCAGCTGCATGGTGGCCAGTACATGTTCTGTTGGGAGAGATAAAGCAATAAGGGATTTAGAAACTTTGTAGTTTACAATGTGTACTTAGTGTTAACTTAAAAGTGATAGTGATTGTGGCCAGCACTTCCTGTGGGGATACAAATGGTAGACGATTTAGAAACTTTGTGTCGTTGAAAATTTAATCCTTGACGTGTACTAATGGTCAGTCAAAGGACTAGGTAGGCAGGTGGATTTAGTTTAACATTGTACTACAGTATGATTACTGACAACACAAATGAACTTCCATTGTGATTTTACAAACTTTATAGTTTACCAATGGTCCATGCACACATTGACAGTACACTACATTGCACATGTATACAATTTATGGTACATGTAAAGTGTAACAATATGTGTTAGTGACTTTGGCCAGCACTTACAACTTTGTAGTGTACCATGGACAGTATACTTTAATAGGTCTGACTATAAATACAGTATGTTCAACTTAGTGATGTCAATTGCCAAGTGGCTAGGCTTAAGCCAACACACACAGGAACAAGACTCAAGAGGTCATGGGTTCCATCCTGGCTAGACGTTACATCCTTGGGAAAGGCGATCTCACACGACCACGCGACTTTCCTCACTCCACCCAGGTGTAAATCGGTACCTGGATTCACGACAAATCCCTTTACTCTGACGTCAACAGAGTGATAGTTTATTGGTGTTAGTAGGAAAGGTCTTGGCCAAAGGAACTTTCGTGATTAGATTTTGGGAAAAACCTGCATCAAGAAATTAAACTCTTAAGGATTTGCTGTGGTGAATTTCAAGGTTCTGAACTGATACAGTGATAGATTTGCAAGTCTTTACCTGCTATATACCTTACACATGATAGTATATGGTATCAACCTAATATGTGACGTTAGAAAATTGTACATAATGCTTTAATAAACGTTTCAGTATAGAAACCACTTGTTTAGAAAAATACCTGGACATTCACAATGCTAGAAGATGATTCCTCAAGAAGTAAGAAACGTGAGTCGTAACAAAGACCTAGCATGTTGATTTACCTCAAAGCATTGTGAGTATACAGAGCCTAATCTCAAGTACATTGTAGAGTGATGGTTAGAATTCACTCTAACTTAGGCAAGAAAGAACTACACAATCTACTATCCGTTTAACTTTAGCAGACTTCTTTGCAAGCATAATAGTACACATAACATCGATCATGGTCTAATTTATGCCAAAGATACAGACAGATCAAGTAGATGGTGCTTTCTATCCTCAGGCAGTTTTTATGCACAGTAATCCAAACACATGTAGCTAAACTAGCTTTGTACGGCAAAAATGACTGTAATCGTTTGATAAAACACCTTCCCTGGAATGTTTTCCCCCACAATCATGGGCATGAATATGCCTCAAACGGCGGCAATTGCCAAAAATGTGTCGTAAAGCGAGAAAATTACGCAATCTATCAGATGAAGAGAACACCTTTTTTGCCTTATCTGAACAGGGCAGGCTTGGAAACTGGCTGCTTCTCAACAAGTGCAGAGGAAGTACAATGATTTTTGCTGCCATTTTCCTGCTGTGCTAATTAGAGTCAGCAAAGATCATCAGTTTTTTTTTTTCAGAGGAAAATGCTGCTACAGTGAATCTAGTCAGAAATGTTCAAAGGCTGGTTTTCTTCACAGTTATCCCTTCAACGTTAATAATCATACAAGAAAAATTCCAAAGACTCTTCCACCATACCATTTACTGGTACTCTCATCGCCTGCAAGGAGACTATTTTGCGTCCAATTCAATCTTCCTGTCAGTCTACTGCAGTGAGTTCCCTACCTATTCAACTACAGATTCTGTTAGTCACTGATAAAAGTAGTGGCCAATGGCTGAAATGTCTGACAATTTTCAACATCTATCCAATTGCTTGAGTAACTACATGTATTCCTTGTATACTACCCCAACCCCCCACTTCCAATGTATTCAAAAAATATGTATTCAAAGGGAAAGGACATGTACAACAGGTCCTCTGCAAACGAAGGTTAGGTAATAAAGTTAAAAAGTAGTGGCTGCTACTTGAAACGTCTGATAGTTTTCAACCAGTTGTTTGAGTAACTACCGGTATTCCTTGAGTAGTTCACCCTCAATTCCTATGACTCCAATATATTCAAATGGAAAGGAAAACAACTCCTCCGCCAACAAAGGTAAGGTTTAATATACAATGTATATACTTACATGAAAGGTAAGGTTTAATAATATAAAGACATGTAGTAACTTAAAGTAGTTTTCTTTTTCAATAAAAGTTTCCTTTGTGTTCGCCTGTGTCACCATCCATGAGACGCTGGGATCATCGCCAGTGCAGGGCCTGAAGAAAAGTAGTCCATCATTCGCACTCATCTTGTCAACCAAATGCGATGTGAAAATACTGCCGCGATAAACGCGCACAGGAGACCGACTTGCTATCAGATCCCTAACCAGACGACGTGTAAAATAAATCTGCTCCAAATTTGCCCCAGGCGTTACTTCGGCTTTCAGAAACTTTGCGAGAAGTGTGATACAGATTGTGAATAAGCCTTAGTCTGGCTATATGATATTTGCCAATTGAAAAATGGCATCGAGAAGGGATGGAGAGATATAATAAGTGCCAAAAAATCTATATTTTCTTATCCTTGGGTCACGAAAGGTGTTGTTGTAGATTGTTATATGGATAAACATAGAACCTTATTTAAGGCAGCAATATCTGCTAGATTCAATATATCCCCATGGTGGCTGAGCTAAAGACCAAATTGTGCATCAAATGGCTTTTCTATGGGATATGAGAGCATTTCTGGACTAATAGGGCTATTTCTAAATTTTCATTCAATTTAGAGCAAATTGAAGAAAAAAACTTTTCACTTTTGTTCCTTTAAATTTTCATCTAATATAAAGTTGACAGAAACTTTGTGGTAAACTAAAGATAATTAGTGACATACTTGAAACTTAAATAACTGATGTCTCAAGTTCTAGCATCCAAGCCTTTGCAATTACTTTCAGACGTTCAGATTTTAAAAAATCAGACACTGTCCCAATTTATAGTGTGAACATTCTTCAGATGAAATTTTGCACTTCTACATGTATATGCATTATTATATTTCTTCACTTTCTAAATTCAAAGCCTTTGTGATTACTTTCTGTAGTTAAGTTTTAAAAAATCAGTCTCCCAATTTTCAGTGTAATCATGTAGTTCTACACGTCAGATGAAATTTCTGTATTTCTACATTGTATAATGCCTTCTTACTGATTAATCCCTTCACTTTCTTTTCTCCATTTGAGAATTCAAAGCCTTTGAGATTACTTTTAGTAAGTTAAGATTTAAAAAAAATCATAGACACTCTGACTCCCAATTTTCAGTATGAACATGACATAGTTCTAACTTTTACAGATTTTATGGTAGTTAAGTTTTTTTTTTAAGTAATACGATCTCCCAATTTTAGTATGTCCTTCAGATAAAATTCCGCATTTCTACATGTATATGCAAACTATCCATCACTCTCTTCTCTCCATTTGAAAATTCACATCAGGGGCAGAGTCAATGATACACACAGACAGTAAATTCAACATGTAATTTCATGAGACAACATCCCCCTGGTCTCACACGAGTCGGGATGTCTGCGCGATAATAAAAAATGTTACCCTTGATGAATCGTGGAAGCACAGGGCGCGCCCCTTTCTCGGTAAAGATTCCCTATCATTCCCTTACGGAATTTCACTTCCTCACTGTGACTCCAATCCAACGCGTGGGAACGTCACTCGCGTAGGAAGAATTCCTTGCGGGTGCTCGATTCTTAGCACTATGGAAAATCCATTTCCACCACTTTCCGTAGGACCTGAGCCAACTAGGATGGTGCCAGCCAGAGTGCTGCTGGCATTTGGAGTAATACCCGAACGTTAGGTGTCAGACTGTGCGAAAAACCTTAAATCTTGTCTGGAAGAACTTTTCCATCTCCTAAAGACGTTAATGGGAGATGAGGAGATAAGACTAGGATGAGCTACTTAAGAAGTACATGCTTCACTTCATACATGCCTAATGTACAAGTGCATTAAAGTTAACTTTTGCAGTTTCAGTTTGAGTTAGAACATGCTGATAGTGGTACTGCCAATAGATGAATGCTTTGGTAGGCTAACAGACATGGTATCTAAGGCACACAGGTTTGGTTCCTGGTATTCCTGTCTAAATGTAGTGTGCTTGGGAGCAGCAACATCATGTCTAAACACTTTTCTTCTGTATTCAAGTGCATATACATGTATCTAAGTGCCCTGTTTAATACTCACATGTATAACTCACTCATCTGCCATACCAAATTTAGTAGATAACACAATCAGCACCAAGGACAGGGTTGTCTTTCTTTTCCATGTACATGTACATGCTTGTATGACGTGTTAAAAATTCATACATGTATTTAAGTGCCCTGTTTAATACTCACATGTATAACTCACTCATCTGCCATACCAAATTTAGTAGATAACACAATCAGCACCAAGGACAGGGTTGTCTTTCTTTTCCATGTGCATACATTGCTTGTATGACACATGTGTTGAAAATTCATACACTTTCAAGCTTCTTCTCTGAATTATATGCTGAAACATGAAGTAAGGAAAATGTAAGGAAAATGTAGGTTTTCACACGTACATCTAACATTATACAGTAACTGGTTTTGTACTTAAATGTACCTTTTGATCAAATGACAGAACTATGATGATCACATAACATACATTCTGTGTCTCTCTACAACTTATCAGGTTCTTATTTTCACCTGAGTCTGAAAATACGTGTAAAGGGCCCTTCCCATAGCCTCCACAGCATGCCAAAAACTGGTTTTTTGGGGGGTCTTCATGGTCTTTGGGAGCTTTTATGTGCTATTTTCTGATTGCATATACTATAGACAACATAGCCGGCCTAGTTGAATTGTCCCCGTTTTTTTAGAACTGGGCTAATCAGAAAACAGCCGAAGACCACCAAACCCCAGTTCTATAAGCCTGCTACGGAGGCTACCTTTCCCAAGGGTACAACACT